CCAGAGAAGCTGTGGCTGCCCCATCCCTGGAGGGGTTCAAGGCCAGGTTGGAGGGGGCTTGGAGCAACCTGCTCTGGTGGGAGGTGTTCCTGCCCAGGGCAGGGGGTGGGACTGGATGATCTTTAAGGTCCCTTCCAACCCAAACCATTCCATAATTCTATGATTCTCTGTTATCGCAGAAGCGCTACCATCGTCAGTGATGGGCTCAGCTCTGACCAGTGTCATGTCTCTCCTGGAGCCAGATGGCACTGGTTTGTTGGACATGGGAGAACCATCTGGCATTATCTCACAGAAGCCACCCCTGCAGCCCCTGAGATAGAAGCGCGACCAGTGATGGGCTCAGCTTTGGCCAGTGTCAGGTCCGTCTTGGAGCCAGCTGGCACTGGCTCTGTTGGACATGGGAGAACCATCTGGCATTGTCTCACAGAAGCCACCCCTGCAGCCCCTGAGCTACCAAAAAGAAATTGCCAGGCAAACCCCATACTATCAGTAAGCTCTGAAGTGAGAACCCAGGGACAAATACAGAGCCATTGAATTATTTTGGTTGGAAGAGACCTTTGAAATCATCAAGTCTGGAGCACAAGACGTATGAGGAGCGGCTGAGGGAACTGGGGGTGTTCAGCCTGGAGAAAATGAGGCTGAGGGGAGACCTTCTTGCTCTCTACAACTCCCTGAAAGGAGGGTGTAGCCAGGGGGGGTTGGCTTCTTCTCGTAAGGAACGGGCAATGGGACAAGAAGAAACAGCCCTAAGTTGCACCAGGGGAGGTCCAGGATGGGTACTGGGGAAAATTTCTTCACCTAAAGGGTTATCAAGCCTTGGAAGAGGTTGCCCAGGGAAATGGTGGAGTCACCATCCCTGGAGGAATTTAAAAGCCAGGCAGACGTGGTGCTGAGGGACATGGGTTAGTGGTAGGTTTGTCAGTGTTGGGTTGATGGTTGGACTCCATGATCTGAAAGATCCCTTCCAACCGAGACGATTCTATGATTCTAAGTCTAAACTTTAATCTAGCAATGCCAATTTACCACTAAAACACTGCCAATTTACCACTAAAATGTCCCAGAGGGGTTCATCTGCCCCCCAAAACGCCCCCTCTCTGGTTCATGACCCTTCATCTCCTGCTCCATCCCACCTCCCACCCAACCCGCGGCGGAGCCACGCAGCTCATTTCCCTCCACACGCCGTTATACAAACAGAGCCGTCGCAGCCAAAGCAAATCTCCTCAAATATCAGGCGCCTTTTCCCCATTTAGCGCTAATCCAAACAGTAATTTGTTTATGCAAATTAGAGCTCTAATTTTGTATTAGTCCAAACTATGCTCATAATGCTATTAGCGGAACGTATATAAACCGCGCATTACGGGAGAATATCTGTAAATTAAGACCCCGCTATCCTATCAGCAGAATGCAAACCCCGGAGAGCATTACCTTTAAATGAACATGTGCTGCAAAAGAAAAAGAGAATTGTAAAATGTAATAGTTACATTTCTTAGCGCTTAGTGTGACAGCCTATTCATTTCATCGGGCTGTTGCCACTGGCTACCGAGCCGGGAGGAACCGCTGCCTGGATTTTTAAGGATGGGGAAGGCACAAAGAAGTTGTCCCCGTTTCCCCAAGAGCTTGGTCCTCATGAATTTGCCCCGGAGAGGAGCAAAAAAAGTCTTAATTTTTTAAAAAAATAGCAAAAAGCTGTAGCGGTGGCATCACTGTTTGAAGGTATTTATGGCAGGAGGGACACCACGGCCACCCAGCAGCTCCCAGCAAACCCATGCAAGCCCAAGGTTGCCACCAGAGTTGGCTGGAGGACCTGGAGAAAGGTCTCATTGCTGTAACGGTGGCTTAATACAGGTGATAAAAATGATATCAAAGTCAAAGGGGTGGATTCTGCCCCTCTGCTCTGCTCCGCTCTGGGGAGATCCCCCATGCAGTGCTGCCTCCAGCTCTGGGGCCACCAACATCAGAAGGACATGGAGCTGCTGGAGAGGGTCCAGAGGAGGCCACGGAGATGCTGGGAGGGCTAGAGCCCCTCTGCTGGGACGACAGGCTGAGAGAGTTGGGGGGGTTCAGCCTGGAGAAGAGAAGGCTCCAGGGAGACCTTAGAGTCCCTTCCAGTCACTCAAGGAGCTCCAGGAAAGCTGAGGAGGGACTCTTGATCAAGAAGAGGAGCCATAGGACGAGGGGGAAGGGTTTGACACTGAAAGAGGGGAGATTGAGATGAGATGTGGGGAAGAACTTCTTTGGTGTGAGGGTGGTGAGAGCCTGGCCCAGGTTGGCCAGAGAAGCTGTGGCTGCTCCATCCCTGGAGGGGTTCAAGGCCAGGTTGGAGGGGGCTTGGAGCAACCTGGTCTGGTGGGAGGTGTCGGGCTTGGACTCAATAGTCTTTAAAGGTCCCTTCCAACCCAAACCATTCTGTGGCTCAGATATATCTATACAAACATATACATGTTATTGAAAGTATTCTGAATACCTATATTGAAATATATTATCTATAGATGATAGATAACATATAGATACTTATATGTAAAAATCTATATATTGTTACCTATCTATCAATTATGTCTAGATATTATTGAACACATACACTGAACAGGCATATTTTATTATATATATTCAATATTATCTAGAGATATACTCAATATTTATATTCAATATATATATTCAATAATATTTAGAGATAACTGATAGAGATAGAAACCCTGGATATTATTTATCTTTTTTTTATCTCTCCCCATCTATCTACATACATCTCCTGCAGATATTACTGACTATATATATTGAATATATATTGAATTATAGATATATAATATAGATATATAGAGCTATATATAAAGATATCTATAGATACATAATCTAATATATAATAGAAATATAGATATATAGGTTTATAAAGACATATTTCTTATAGAAGTTCTGTATCAAGCTATGTAAAATATACCTAGTCTCTATATCTATATAGAGATTAGATAGATATACATATATATTATATATTTAATATCTATTTCTCTATAGAGATATATTCAATACATATATATATGTAAATATATATTAACTATAGATAATATGTATAGCTAGACAGATAGAGATATCTACACAGGTATAGGAATACAGAGATATTGCTATAGATATAGGATATAAATATATAGATATAAGGATACAGAGCTGGAAATATCTATATAGATATATACGTATATCTATATAGATATCTGTCCCTCTCTCTGTATATAATATCTATCAATATCTATCAATAATATCTATATATAGATATTATTGATAGATAATATATATTTCAGTGTATAGACTATAAATTTTTATAGAATCAATAATATATAATATTACCATAGACATATACATATACAAATATGTACTAAATAATACGTATGAAATAATATCTCATATCTTGAGACATCCCAACCCTAAAAACTCAACAGCACGCTCTGAACAAGAAGCTTTTCCATGGATTTTGGTTCTCCTTCCCTATCTCCAACCAACCTGGGCTTCCCACACCCCAAATCCTCCCCGCTTCCCCGGGCACAGGGAGACATCCCAGAGCATCACTCAGCGCAGGGATTTTCTGCCTCAAACAATATCTTAGAAAATCGTTGGGAAAAACACCGGGGTGGAGCACAAAATAAAAAATATAGGGGAAAAAAACCCTTTTATGGCTGTAATATCAATAAAATCCAACCAAACCCGCGTCGCGCACGGTGGTCACTCACAGCACCGGTTTAAGAAGCTGGTTGAATCCCCTCCCCACCCCCAAAAAATCCTTCAGATATTTATTTTCTGGCTTTGCTGCATTTGCTCAACCCTCTCAAGTGGTCGCAGACTCCGGGAGCTCCTCGTTCCGAAGTCACCATTTATCAAGAGTTATTACCCGGTGGCATCTGACCCCTCGGTACGCGAGCGGAGAGCGAGCAGGTAGCAGCTGCTGAGCAAACAGCAACAGCTGCAGATTATAAAACATTTTTTTTTTAGACTTTTAGAAAGCGATATTAAAAAGAATCAAGTCAGGGGAAGAGGAGAGGAGCAGCCAGGTGAGCAGAGGGACGCTCTCCTCTCCACCAGGCCTTTAGGGATGGTCAAACCCCAAATATGAGGGACCGTTATCTCCCGTTAGGGATGTTCCCTCTGGGATTTGTCAAGGATTTGGGTAGAGAGCAGCCAAAAAGCATCATACCCCATGAAGGGACCAGGGTTGAACCTCCTCTGGTTTGTAGCTGTTGTATTTTTGAGGTAGGAAAACGACCATCTAGGTGACCTCCAAGAAAAGCTTCTGTAGAACATCTGCCAAAGCCCCAGGTGCCACCAGACTGAAGTGGGATGCTCAGTCCATGGATGTTCACACCATAATGGGGAATTCCCGATGGAAACACAATGGGAAAGGAGGTGCCACCTCCCTGGAAATGCTGGTGATGCTTCACAGGGGATTCCAGCAGTTGAATGCACCCAACTGGTGCAGCTTTGGCCATGTCTGTTATTTATAGAGTATTATTTATTAG